CCGGGGGGTGGGGCCCCCCCCTGCCTCTCTGCAGGGGAAGCAGCCCTGCACTGCAGATCACAGCACACTGGTGCTCAGCTCCTACTTAAAAAATAAGCAAGCATGCCAAGGAGCAAGGCCAGTACCCAGCTAGGGCTGCCAGCAGTCAGACATCCCAGCATCCCATCAGGAATTGCCCTTGCATGTAATCAGACTGGAGCCTGGACTCTAGCAAAGGCATGCTCATATGGGAAATACGGTGTAAATGTTTAATGGCAAGTGCTGCTACCATCATCTCGGGTCCCTGTGGTGACACCAGTGCCAGAAGCCTTTGCCAGAGACCTGGACATCCCCAGGACAGGAGCTGCAGAGAGCTATATGGCAGGTGCTGCTGGGCAGACAGGCCAGGGCACCACAGCAGCTTCCTCCTGCAGCTTCCCGGCCACAAGGCCAAAACCAGTCAACTTTCGCTGAGAAGTTGATGCTTCAGCATCATGGCGAGTGTATCAGGCAGGTTTGGAGGGGATGGACAGTGCTGCTTGTCTGGGTTAGTATGACTAGGAGCAAAGCTGTGAGAACAAGAGCCTTTGTTTGGGAGCTGCTTCCCTGGGGCTGCCAGCAAGGACAGGGTTGGCCCTTGGCATTATGGGCCTGGGCCGCGCTGGCCCTGCATCCATGTGAAGGACATCCCAGGGACAGGGCAGAGCTGAGGTAGGTCCCGGGTGGCTGCTGGCTCCCCGGCTGCTGAGGTTGTGCTGAGGTCCACCACTCTGCCTCTCCTCTGTTGTGCACAGACTATGAAGATGAGGAGGAGTGGAGCCCGTGGTCCCCTTGCAGCATCACCTGTGGCAGTGGCAACCAGAAGAGGACCCGGTCCTGTGGCTATGCCTGCACAGCAACGGAGTCAAGGACCTGCGACCTGCCACACTGCCCTGGTGAGCCCGTGGCAATACCAGTGCTTGGGCACTGACCGATCCTGATGTGGGCTGGTCTCCTGCTGCTGCAGGCAGGGCACTGCTCATGCTGCAAGAGCTAGTTATGTTTGATGTGGTCTGGGCTAATGACCACAGGGGTTTGTTTCCACAGGGAAGCTCTGATAGGGCTTCATGGCTCTCCAGCAGTTACATGGTGCCCAAGGGTGGTAGAGCTGGGTTCCAGCTTGGTGTGCAACTCCTTGCACCTCTCACACTGGGAGCTTGAAATGCTCTCCTGAGGCGTATTGAGAGCTGGCTCCATCCACTGGGTTTTACGTAACCCACCATCTTGTGTGGGTCTGTCCTGCATGTCTTGCTGCTAGTCCAACCTTCCAGGGAGACACCTGTGTTGCCAAAGCAATGGTGGGAGAGGGAGTGGAAGATGGATGGTGTCTGGTGCCCTTATGGAGGAAAAAGCCCACCACTCTTCCTGGCGTTCACTCTGGCTCTTTGGTTTTGGTTTTTTTTTTCTTTCTCAAGGAGCAGATGGAGAAATGGTTTTCCCCACAAAGGAGACACCTTTCAAAAGCGACAATACCACAGAGCTCTTCAACTCAGGTCAGCTTCTGCCTCTGCCTTGCTCTCGGGATATCAGTGCCAGACCGCATGAGGACTAGCTGGTGGAGAGGGCTCTGCCAAGGGCTGTCGCATTTGGTGGTCAGACCTAAGTCATCCAAATCGCTGCCATGGCAGTCATGCTGGTAAACCCAGTTCCTCCCACGACCCTGGTACAACACAGTCCTGCTTTACAGTGCAGTGGCTAAAGCCAGCCTGTCACATGCCCTCTCCATGGGGGTATACTGCCAGACCAGCCCTTGTAGCAATGAGTGTCCCAGGCAGAGCCCCTGTGACAGGCAGCATGAAACCCCTTCCCGCTGTTAGTGTCTCGGGGATTGAGCCTGGCTCCTCCTGCCTGGCAGATGCAGGCTCTGCTTGTGGTGGCCATGGGGTAAAGCCGTGGGCAAATGGCATTTGAGTAAAGTGGGGTGTGGGCTGTGCGTGCCCTCACCCTTCGGTGCCCTCTCATCCAGAGGTGGACAGCTGTGAGAAGTGGCTGAACTGCAAGAGCGACTTCCTCACCAAGTACCTCAGCAAGGTGCTGACGGACCTGCCCAGCTGCCCCTGCTCCTACCCACTGGAGGCCGTCTACAGTGCCGTCAACCTGCGGGATGAGCAGCAGGGCAAGAGCTTCCGATGGCGGGATGCCAGCGGCCCCAAGGAGCGCCTGGACATCTACAAGCCCACAGCACGCTTCTGCCTGCGCTCCATGCTCTCCCTCGACAGCACCACCCTGGCTGCCCAGCACTGTTGCTACGACGAACACACCCGCCTCATCACCCGTGGCAAGGGGGCTGGCGTCCCCAACCTCATCAGCACCGAGTTCTCCCCGGAGCTGCACTACAAGGTGGACATGCTGCCCTGGATCCTCTGCAAGGGCGACTGGAGCCGCTACCACGCCGTCCGGCCCCCTAACAACGGGCAGCAGTGTGCTGACAACCCCACCGAGGAGGAGTACCTCTCTCAGCTGCAGGAGGCCAAGGAGTACTAGCCACAGCCATGTCAGAGGAGCCATGGCCCCTGTGGGCTCCCACCCTGGTGCAGCCTGGTGAAGCCCTGGCCCTGCTCAGGGGGCCCTTGCTGGCGCTGGGCAGCGCAGGGAGGATGGAGCGTCTGTCTCATCCCCACAGAGAGGTGCCTCAGCCTGCCTTGGATTTCCAGGGGTGACAGAGGTTATGATGCTGCGATCCCTGCCATGCCACATGGGATGGTCCCACACCCTGGGATGCCTGGGCTGGCACACAGGGAGCTGCAGGGGATGGGAGGTGTAAAGGGAATGGGGAGCTCTTCCTGTCTGCTTTTGTTCTCCACAGTCTTTCAGTGCAAGCTGAAAGCTGAGCATCTTCAGGGTGAAATGGCCTCAGCTCCTGCTGGCTTCATGCTGCATCTGAGGAGCTGGCCTGCTGCGGGCAGAGCTGCCTGCTCTGGCCTGTATGCCTGACCTGGCACACGCTGGTCTACTTCTGAAACTGGGGGTGGGTCCTCTAGGGAGGGACAGGGCTGTCCCAGCCATGCATAGAGTACAAACCCCTTTCCTTGGGTTTTGCATGCAAGGTTGGGAAGGAGCAGGGTTTCATGGGTCCAGGAGGTGTGTGGGGCAGGAGGAGACTGGTCACGTAGGCTCCCTTGGCAAGGTTGCTTTGTCACTGTGGTTTGGGTTGTGAAAGCGAACACTGGTTGCCAAAGCCAGACACACGTGGACCTCAGAGGAGGTCAAGCATGGGGGAACACCATCTGTGTGCATTTCAGCCCCTCTGCCTTAGTGCTTAGGGGAGCAGGGTGGCAGCACCCATGCAAGTCCCACCACCAGCCTGCCCTGGCAGCCCCACAGTGGGTTTCAGTGCTCGGGAGCACGTGTGACACTGCCCAGCAGATTGTCCTTTGTTTCCCACCCACAACCCTGCTGGGGGCAGCTGCCACTTACGCTATTACTGGAGAGCAGCAAAAAGCACTGAGCCAAGTTCTCTATGGGGATGGCAACAAATCAGGCGTTGCTGGGAGCACCCAGCATTGCCCCTCTCTGGTGTGCTGCTGGCCTCAGGCCCTGCTCCATGCTGTGTCTGCCCAGCTCCCCAGCAAGCGACAGCCCAGAGAAAGCAAGTCGTGTGTGCAGCCTGTGCTCCTCAGGCTTGCTGCCTGGCCAGGCAAGCCAGTGTGTCTCCAAAGGAGGAGGACGCGCACGTGCTAATAGTGTCAATACCTAGTTGTTAATGTCAGTACCTGGCCTTTGCAGATCATGGTGCTCGCCGTTGGTGCTTTGGTCTTGCCTGGGTTTTATTTAGCTTTTCAAAGGTTCATGGCAGTTTCTCCCAGCATATTTTAGGGGCTCCTCAAGTTTCCCACAGAGAGACTAGACTGACCATCATTATCCCTGGACATCCAGTCACTGAACCTGTCAGAAACTTCATAGCTTCTATTTAGCAAATTTTAAGCATTGGAGAAAATGAAAGAGGAAGTCAAGCACAGGTGAAGAATTGAGTTATTTCTAGACTAGAGGTTTCACCCAAGGCTGTTGGCTACTCCATGTTTTTCTGCAGGACACTGTTGGACAAAAAGTATCTGTCTGGGTGCAGAGGTCCTTGTTTGACTGTCCTGTGCTAGGTCTGTCCTTTCAGGAGGTCTCATAGCTCTCTGGGGAGTCTTTCTGGGAGCATATTTTATATGTTGAATGTATGTTGATCCTTTTGCCTTGGTTATGGATAGAATATTGTGTCCTTGGTCATCAGTACGTAAGACTTCATTGCTTGTGAAAGTATTAATGAAGTTTTCACTGAATTATTCTTATCTATCTGACTATTATTCCACACTCATATCCCCAGAGTCCAGTTATGGGTGTTATCAAAACAGGCAGACACCATCCATTTCCCAATAGGCATGCAGTCTGAGATGACCAGTGTTATGTAAAGGGTGAGAAGGAAGGCACAACCAAATAATGGTGACCCAGACCATGGTAAATTTTCATGACCATTGGATGTTCCTTAGCCCAAATGGTCATTTGCTCACTAGATTCTAGTAAAGACAGGGTCAAGAGAGGATGGCAGTGATCTGATGGCTTGGTTCTGGGAGCCTGGCAAATGTGTGGGGAGACTCAGCAACATAGAGGCATTTGTACAGGAAGCAGACAAATTGAGTGTCCAAGGCCATGGAAGGATGAGCTTGTTATCTTCTGTCATACAGCGGAGCATCTTCCTATTTCTTCTCCCTTATCATACATCATCATTAACATCAGCGGACTCTCAGAGGAGCTTATTCACCATCAGTGCACAGACTTTAAAACAACATCTTGTTAAACTTGCCTAGTGTCCAGTATTATACCCGCACATGGAAGCAGGACCTCTGCAGATAGCCTTTTTTGAAGGAGGCTTTCAATAGGTATGTCAATTTGTTTGTTAGACTGGCTGCTCTCTGAGGAATTGCTCTTATAGTAAGGACTGTTAACCAGGATTTTGCGCCCTCCTCCTCTTTATACTGAGTATGTCAACCAGTCTAACCCCCTCAAAAGAAAATGTAATTTCTGTAATAAATGCAGTTCCCATCCAAGGGCAAGTAGAAAAAATTATTGCATTGAGCCCCTCAAAAAGCTAGTTGAAAGCTGAGTGGCTGTTTTGCCTCGCTGCCTCTAAGGTTTGGATGATACAGGCATGAGCTGGACCATGAGAAACAAGAAGCAGTGTTGTTCCTCACACAAGCACCTTATACACCAGGAGGCTTTGTGGGCCACTATGAGAAAAGCAGACATTAAGCAAGCATTTATTTTTATATCCCATCAAAGATTCCATCCAGCCCACTGCTATTTAAGTGATAAATCTCCAAGCTTCCACTCCTTAAGTTTATTTTGTTGGGGTTTGTTTGGGTTTTTTTTTTTGGGTAATATATATAAAATGCCTTTTATTCCTACAAAATTTCGTAGAGAAGAATTCTTTATTCTGATGCTGCAATAAAGCACTTTATATACGTATGTTGCTGATGTCATTCAGTTGGGACTGAGGCATATGTTGCTATTTGTTTTGGTTGAGAAGGAGGATACCACATTGAATGCTGTGTATCTTGGATCCCCAGCACCAATTGTACTACAAAGACCCACGTGGCTTTGTCTTCTTCCCTTGGCATTTCATCTGATGGTGTCTGGCTGCAAAAATCAGCAGCTAACAGAGACTATCCGGAACCCATCACCACAGCCATGAGATATGTGAAGTTCTGCTCACAGGGAATGAAGCCTACTACAAGAAGACCATCAGGGTCAGTGAGAAGCAAATGCATTGCCTGTGCCTCAGCCCTGACCCCAGGTTTTAGTCCATGCTCAGCCTCGGCAGAGCTGGGTGCCAGCTGACCTAACACCAGCACACTGCTTTAAGCAGGTGTTGAGTATGGGAGCGGGTGAAAATCCCAGCATCATCCCAGGTGGAAAACTGGTTTGGCAAACCACCTCCATAGCCAACGGCTAGTGATATATGGGGGATTTGCAAAGCTTTTCAGGGGTCACAATTTTTTTTGTTGCCATTGATTTGCTGCATAAATCGTGACCACTTCCAAGCTCTTGCTATTTCCAACTGTTTTCCCTCCTTCTCTCTTGCTCCTTTTGCTTTGTGCTGGCTGCACATCTGTCAAGGGTTTACTGCTACTCCAGCACGGGGCTCTGCTCCACAGCTGCCTGGCGCCACTGCTGACCCCTGCCTGAGGGAGCAGATGGCTCTTCTCCATGAAGGATGCTCTGAACTTCCCACTGGTCTTCTGCAACATCAAAAACATTGTTCATAGAGCCCAAGCCAGGGGAAGCAGGCTGAGCTCTGCACCGCAGAAAGAGGTTTCCATGGAAGGGCAATAAGTAGTTACCACTGTGTATGTGACACACCTAACATGCCTTTATCCTTTGTAACAAAGTCCTTGCTGTGCCAGGTGCTGAACCCTGCTCCAAAACTTCTGGGCTATAGAAATCTCACAGCCAGAGGAGAGAAGCAGGAAGAATTGATGCCCTAATTCTGCAGATGCTCAAGACCTGGAGATGCCACCTGAAATCATGGAGTGAGTCTGCAGCAGAGTCTCAAGCTGCACCTTTGCCCATTGCTTTGAATACAAGACTTCTTGACCAGTTGAGTTGTCCTAGTCTGCTAGCCTGGGCTGGAGCTGTCTCAGCTGTACCAGTTCCCTGGTGTCTGACTTGCAGCTGAGTTAGTTTGTACACAGAAGGAGCCGTGCCCAGATTCTGCCTGGCACAGCGGTAGCATGCCCCTGCTGACCTCCCCTCTTGGCCCCAGATGAGTCAGGAGCAAGCTGTGCAAAGGCCTTTGGACTGTGAAGGCATGGGTGTGTGGCCAGCTGCCAGGAGGCAGGCTGAGTAGATGGAGCCCACCTCTCAGGGATGAACACATTTCATCAGAACATGATTACAGCAACAGAGAACCCAATAGCAGTCGGTTTGGGTTTTTCAGGGCTTTTTCTCCAAGAATTTGCCTGTTGGAAAGCACAGAGAAAGTCCAGTTGGGCCCAGAAGGAGCTGATTTGAGAGGAGAAGACAGAGGATGATAATGCCAGGACAGTTTATCCAAAGCTTGTGGAGCTGACTTGAACTGCAAGCCTGGCCTTAGCTTAGGAAAGAGCCAAGTGTGCTTGTGGTGGTCTGTGGACCTTTAGTTAAAACTGGAGCTCTGTAGAGGAAAAAAAGCCCTTTCAGACACCCTCTTTCCCGGTCTGTGAAGGGGCACACTCCACTGTGTGCCATGTTAGCCCTGTGGACTGGCTCTGCTGGTGCCAGCTTCTCTGTAGAAGAGTAAAAAAGTAAGTCACAGTAGCTGCAGCTTTTTGGCAGCAGCTGCACCACAGCCTGAGCACTGGGTGAACAGGAGCCTATGGCAAGACCCGGTCTCCTGGGCTTTGCCTTCGCCCTGAGTGCAGAGAATCACCCCAGCAGGTCCCCAGCACCAATTACAGCCTGTCCTTGTGACACCATGTGGAGGGATGCCAAAATCACACTGGGCTAGCCCTGCCCGATGTGGCTGTGGGACGAGATCAGGATTTACTCCCTCCATCTCCACAGAGGATAGACCCACATGTTTGCAGTTGGGAAAGGAATGTCTCGCCCTCCTTCCCTGCCATGCAGTGGCCAGCTGCCCCTTGGAAATGCCTAAGAGGAGCACAGCTGGTGGGGTCCAGCCCCTGCTTTGTTCCAGGTCCTTGCAAGCATGTCAGCTATTTTTCTCTCATTGCATCACAGCCTTTGGACATGGGGATGTACCATGGAAAATGGACTTAGTCTCTGGAGAAACTACCTAGCCTCACCATGGGGATGTGGGCAAATCATTCCCTACTGGCAGTCCCGCTCTCTCCTGGGCTTCAAGCTCTCCAGTGATGGAGATGCCACAGTAACCCTCAGCTTTACTGTTCTTGCAGGGACATATATTTTCTTAGCAGCCAATCATCTAAATCCTTCCTGCTTTATTTTAAGCCCACTGATCACAGAGAGCACATTATTGCCTTATTTGCTCCTACCTCTCACATATTTCAGAATGTTATCACTGCGTTCCCTACTTCCCTCCCTTCACCATCTCCTCCAGACTAGACAAATGCAATTCTTTCAGTCTTTCTTTTGAAGCTGAACTTGTAGACCTCTGGCTTGTCTCGTTGCCCACCACTGGGCTTGCTCCAAGTAATTTATATCTTTCTTGAAGCATGGAGCCCAAAACTGAAGCCATGGGGGCCTATAGAAGGCTTTCTTAAGGCTATATGGAAAGGTTTCTTCACAAGACCTACAAAGCCCAGCCTGCCCAGGCAGCTTTTGTTCTCTTCCATGATGTTTTAAATTTATGTTCGTTTGAAAATTCATCATAACCTGCCCAGCTTAAATGTCTTTTAGAGATGGACAAAAAGCTGCTTTTTTTTTTCCTCCTGGTTCACTTTTTCACTTGATCAAGATAATTCTCAATCCTGAACTTGTATTCTAAGGGTTTTACAGCACCAGTGGTGATATTATTTTTGACTTTTAAGTTATCAATTATATTATCTTCTACACTAACACATACTGGATTCATTGCGATGCTATTAGGCCTTCCCTTATTTACTACTAAAAATATCATACAAAGCATTGACTACAGTCTTAATAAAGCCCAAATATTCTGCCCAAGGAAGGCGTTAGGTTGAGTTGATATGAGCTGTGCTTGATGTAGCTGTGATATACGTGTGCTGATTGTTACTTTTTGTCTGTTTAGCTGGGCATATACAGGCTACTAACTGCCCGTACTAATGAATTTTTCAGTATTGTTTCATGAATTGATGTTACAGACTGACTTAGTTCCCTTGGCGCTCACCTCTCTCCTTCTTCCTCCCTCCCTCTCCCCAGCCTCATTCCTTATCAAATTCTGAAAGATTGCTCCACTTTCCCAAGTAAGTCTTCTAGGCCAAACTGTGTCAGGCCCTGTTAAGCTGGAAATATCCAAACTCCTTTCATTTTGTCTTTAAAAAATATTTTCAAGTTCTTCCCATTTTGCCACTGAAGTGGGTTTGGGATGACGTTTCAGAGCAGTTTTAATAGGTACTTAGGATAGGGGCTTTCAATCATCTCTTTGATTTGTGTCCTGATTGTCCCATAGAAGTTTCACATGGATAAATGATTAAAACACATGAAAAAGGGCCGAGTCATAACAATTCCACCTAAACCAGCATCCAGTCTCTGGCAGTGGTCAACAGCAGGTGACAAGGAAGGAAAAGTAAAGAGAAGGACAAGCACATGTTTATGTTTCCCTGAAATTCTTTCCTTATTGCCAGCAGCTGGTGGCCAAGAGGCTTCCTGAGCCAGATGTGATGGTTGTTCTGTTTAATAGCCCTTCGTTGGTTTATTCTTCCACAAATTTTTCCACTCCTGTTCTGAATCCATGTAAACTTTTAGTGGTACCATATCACCAGCTGCAACAAATTCCAGAATTCACTAAATGTGTGCAGAGACCCTTTGACTGGGACTCCGTATTATGTTGTTTGATGGTTGCTCCTTACTCATCTTCTCCATGTGCATCATATGTGTGTAGCATGCACCTCTGACCTCTCATCACTGAAAAAAAATCACCATTTACTATCTCTGTTTTCTGGTTTTCAACCTTTGTTCTCTTTAATTCACGAGACTTTCCTTCTTATCCTGTGTCAAGTTCAGATTCTTGAAGAGCTTCTGGGCAGGAGTATACTGGACCTTGCTTTCTTCCTCCCTCCCCAAAATAGGTGAAGGACTGCAGTCTCTCCTGACACTCAGGAGAGACTGCAAAGGTCTGGGGTTTCTCATTAGCATCTGTATAGCTGCACCAGATGTCAGCTGTAGCTGAAGGAGTGGGTATCTTTGCTGAGAGCAGGCAGATGTAGCACAGGGACCTTCGCTAGCATGCAGCAACTTAAGGCCCAGATTGCTTTCATCAAGTAAACAGCTGGTGTAAGGCATTACCACTGCTGTGCCCCTTAGAATTAGCATAACCAGACACACTCTGTGCCTCAGGCAAAGTGCTAGCTCACAGCCTGGCCATTAGTGCAAGCTTTCATTCACCAGTGGGGTTCATCCAAGAGATTCTGCAGTGAACAGCAGCCTAGGCATGCATGGCTACACATGCTGTTCTGCTGCTGTGGGGATGGTGATCTCCAGCCCAAGGGGCAGGGAGCCAGCTGGGGCAGCACCAGCATAACTCAGGGCAGTCAGTTTTGCTGATGAAGAGTCCTCCAAGCCCTGAGTCTATGAGCCCCATGAAGGTGGGTTGCTGGCTGAGGCCAAAGCGTGTCCTATTAGAGTAGCAGCAGGATGCCTGAAGTAAACCCTGGTTGTGATGAAAGGAAGGCAATTAAAATTCCACTTCAGCTGCCTTCCTGTCCCACTTCCTAACCTTCCAGTGGCAGCAGGTGATTAGCGGGTCCTGCCTTCTGCTGCCCTTGCTCAGCTGTACCAGCGGAGCCCCACTGCAGGAGAGCGCTGCTGCTGTGGCACAGCCAGCTGCCTGCATGGCTGCCAAACCATAGCCAGGACATGTGATTCAGCTGCCGAGTATGTCTCAAGTTAACTTAGAATAAGCTCATTTTGTCAGTTTTCAAATCACTTTGCTGTGAACACACTTGCTAGCCCTGCTGTTTAAGGTTTCCCATGTTTCTGCCCAGGATTTCCCAAACAGAAAACCAAACATGCATGTTGGAGTGACATCAGCGTGCTTGCTGCATGTTCCACTCCCAGAGTCTACAAAAGCTGTACCATAGTTTATCTGTGCATAAGAATCCTGGCAAAATACCTGTGGCCCCCTTCTCAGCCAGATGATGCTCTAAGAAAGAAAACCCTGCAGGACATAGGGAAGTCCAACCTTATCTACAGGTGCCCAGTCTTTGTACAACTTCCTTCGCAGTCACAGGTCAGCATCGGGATAAGCATATGATATAAACTTACTTCATAACCCACTCTTCATGTCTGTACACACTTTACCATCAATAATCACTTCGAAATTGTGAGCAGAAAATGCTAGAAATGTTCTCCCTAGTTTAAAATGCAATTCAATTATACTTATATTCTTTTTTAAACAGGCTCTAAAGATTTTTTCCCCATAGCCCCTACTCGAGTGGATGACTACAACACGCCATTGACATTGAAAATTTAGAAAAAACCCCAAACCAGTAAAACTCACCCAGTACCATTACTTGCTTCTAGCTTACTAAAGCTACTCTGTGGAAAACAAAGTGCGCAAGAGAAGCTCATGCCTCAAAGGGAAAACTGAGTGCTTCAGTCACCCCTGAGGTTAAGCAGATTGACAGTTCAGACCAGAACTAATTTTCCCCCCGTCCTATAAACGAATTTATTGCTTTAGAAGACACCTCTGGGAACTAACTGTATTAGCAGAAAACAAGCACATGCTTTTCCTCACCAGTCAAAGCAACAGCTGAAGCGGGGTCAGCCAGAAGTACTGCGCCTAGTTTGTTTTACAGGAATAAATCCCACCCCCATTAAAAACCTACAGTTTGCTTCGGCCTGAAGCTCTTGGAGGTAGCTGATCCTGGGCACCATGACCTGCTAGAACTGGTTTGTAGGTGAGTTTCCCTGGCAGTGGTTTACCAATTGTCTCGAAGAGGT